TTCAAGCAAATGGACCTAAGAAAAAAGCTGGTATAGTCACTTTAATATCTGACAAAATAGACTTCAAATCAAAACTAAGAGATAGGGAAGGACACTCCATGCTCATCAAAAGAAAAGTCCACCAAGAGGACATTTCAATGGTTAATATCTATATCCCAAATGTAAATAGATTTTTCTTGGGGCCGCCAGCTCACAAAAAGTGACACAGAGACTTATTAGTAATTACGAAAACTTAGCCTTATCTTAGGCTTGTTTCTAACTAGCTCTTATAATTGAACCCATTTCTATTAATCTACATGTTGTTTGTAGTGGCATTTCAATGGTATTTTAATAAATAAAGCCTGCCTGAAGATCTGAGAGTAAAACAGTCCCACTGGTCAGCCTTACAGACCAGGCAGTAGTAACACACACCTTTAATCCCAGTAGCCACACTAGTTGCCATAGAAACTGGGCGGTGCATGCTTTTAATCTCTGTGGTACATGCCTTTAATCCAAGCCCTAGAGAAGATTATAAAACAGCAGGAGACAGCTCTTAGACACAGTCTCATTTTGGGATTCCTGGAGACAGGATTGCCAGTTCAGACTGAGTTTGAGGTAAGAGCCAGTGGCTGGCTGCTTTGCTTTTCAGATCTTCAGATTGAACCCCAATTTCTCTGAGTTTTTATTAATTGTGCTTCATTTGGTGCTCAACATGGGGCACAAATTTATGAAAAATCAGTTCACCTGAGGCTTTTTAGCCACCAGCCCAGGCCAGAGCTGAGATTGGAATTCCAGCTCTAGGAGCTGGACCCAAAGCTTGCCACCTGGGTTTGGGAGAAAAACTAGTGCTCCCAGCTCCCATCCACCCTGGTTTAGCTTCCATGTAAAGATGGAAAACACAGAGAGAATCTGGATATTGTATGTTATTGTGTTGTCTTTGAATTGTTTGACAGCTGAGGAAGGAGCAACAGCTGCTAAAAGGCACTGGATTAATCCAACCTATATATTTTGAAAATGCCTTGACTTCAAAATTTAAGTCAAAAGGTATGTTACTTTGGAGAAGAGGTTTTACTTTTGTTTCCACAGGAAATAAGAGGCTGTAGATTCATTCTGGGTTAAGAAAAAATAAGGTTTGATCAAAGAAGACCCCCTGAAAAATCTCCAGTGGGAACGGATGGCCCAGATGCTCCAATGTTTCAGAGCACCTCTGTTGCAGTTTCCTCTGAGTTCTACATCCAGAACAGCCTCAAGACTGCTGGCTGAAATAATCCATCCTCACAGAATACTTCAGTAAGGACTTGACCATATCCTAAATTTTCTTTGGGTCCCCATAAGATTATCAGCACCCCCAAAGAGCAGGAAGTAGCCTAGAAAACTATACCCACATCATCAAAAAATGGATTATGGATGTTTATCTTTGTATAATGTGTTAGTTACAGGTTGTTGTGGATAATGGCCAGGAAAAAAGCTAAACAAAGGAAATTAGATTCAAGGTTCTTATTTTTGAAAAAAAAAAAAAAAGGCCAGGCGGTGGTGGTGCAAGCCTTTAATCCCAGCACTCAGGATCTCTGAGAGTTTGAGATCAGCCTGGTCTACAAAGCAAGTTCCCGTACTGGCTCCATTAGCTATTGAGAAACCCTGTCTCAAAAAACGGGAAGAAAAGAAAAGAAAAACAAAAAAAGAAAAAAGAATAAAAAAGGAAAAGAAAAAAGGGTGTATAGGTTTGATAAGATAAAAAGGTAGATTACTGAATCTACTCTAAAAAGAAAAAGGGAGAATATAGATATGATATGATAAAAGGTAGATTATTGGGTCTATTAAAAAGTAACTATTAGTTTTAAATGTTTTACATTGGTTGTAATTTTATATATTGTATACAAACTTTGTATATTGACACAAATTTGAGATTAGTTTTGTTAAAATATACTGTACATACATTTCTAAACTTGTTCAAGGTATTGTACCTATACGGCTCATTTAACAACGTAGTGCATAGTTTGGCGGTATGTACACCTTTAATCCCAGCACTCAGGAGGCAGAGTGATCTCTGTGAGTTCGGGGCCATCCTGATCTACAAGAGCTAGTTACAGGACAGTCTCCAAAGCTACAGAGAAACCAGTTCTCAAAAACCAAAACCAAATAAACAAACAAAAACAATGTAATGCAAATTTCTAGTTCTTAAAAATTATTACCAGCCAGGCGGTGGTGGCACACGCCTTTAATCCCAGCACTTGGGAGGCAGAGGCAGGCAGATCTCTGGGAGTTCGAGGCCAGCCTGGTCTTCAAGAGCAAGTTCCAGGATAGGCACCAAAGCTACAGAGAAACCCTATCTCGAAAAAACCAAAAAAAAAATTATTACCAACTCTTTAAGATAATAAGGAAATATAGGTTACTAGTTAATCACCTAGTATAATCAAATTTGTAGTCACATTAGGTATGTTTTCATGGCAAACAAAGATACCTTTTAGATATACAGGTAACCTTCAAACACTTCAGAGATCTACAGAATATGGCATTTAAGATGTTTTAATAACCTAGGTTGTTGTTGTTGTTGTTTGTTTTTCGAGACAGGGTTTCTCTGTAGCTTTGGAGCCTGTCCTGGAACTAGCTCCTGTAGACCAGGCTGGCCTCGAACTCACAAAGATCTGCCTGCCTCTGCCTGCCTCTGCCTCCCAAGTACTGGGATTAAAGGCATGCACCACCACTGCCTGGCTGGTTCTTCTTTTTTATGACAATGAGACATGTCTGCTCCTGTCAGCACCAATCTACTTCAGAGAAGATTATGCTCATCAAAGAAGCTCCACAGGGAATATACTTTCTTTGTGGCAAAAGTAAGTCACTGGGCAAGAAAATGCCCCTGCCTCAACTGCTGACAGTATGTTGTCCTAATGAGACAAGCAGAACACAAAATATCCTGCTTCACAGAAAAGCCTACTGGATATGTTAGGCCTGTAGGCCAAAGATGGATGCTCTAATGCTGCAGAGGAACTTTGGGTGACTGTTCAGGTAGTCAGCTGTTTTTGTCATTTCTCACATTTTTTAGAAGTCGCTTCCTTGCACTTCTTGCTTACTCAGTTAATATTATTTCCTTCTTGGGTCTCTGAGGGAAGATTAGATAGCTATAGTTATAATTTACCAGATGCAGAAAGCAAGTTATGATAGAAAGTAAATTAGGTATAAGACTTAGGACTTACCAAGATAGGATAGATAAGAAATATTTTCTCTGAATTTTTCAAATGCAAGTGGACTAGACATTGTTGATGCATTTATTGCCTATATAATATATTGTATATCGTCATTGTACTTGTTGTATATAGTTTTCTTATATTATTTATAGCTTTTTATTTTAGATAAAAAAGAAAGTAGTGGCATTTCAATTGTATTTTAATAAATAAGGGCCTGCCTGAAGATCTGAGAGTAAAACAGTCTCAATGGTCAGCCTTACAGACCAGGTAATGGTAACACACACCAGATGGTTTTAGTGAAGAGTTCTATTAGACATTCAAAGAAGAGCTAAAGTTAATATTCCTCAAATTATCACACAAAATAGAAACAGAAGGAACATTGCTCAGTTCATTTTATGAGGCCACAATTACCCTGATACCCAAACCACATAAAGACCCAACAAAGAGAATTATCAACCAATTTCCCTTATGAACATAGATGTGAAAAATATTAACATATTTGCAAACCAGCCAGGCATGGTGGTGCACACTTTTAATCCCAGCACTTGGGAGGTAGCAGTTGGTGGATCTCTGAGGTCTCAGTCAGCTTGGTCTACAAAGTGAGTTCTAAGACAGCCAAGGCTATAGAAAAAAACAAAAACAAACAAACAAAAAGAACCTGTCTTGAAAAAAATAAAATAAAAATCTTGAGAACTAAATCCAAGAATACATCAAAAAGATCATCCACTCTGATCAGGAAGGCTTCATCCCAAAGATGCAGGATGGCTCAACATATGTAAACCAACAATTGTAATCCACCACATAAAGACACTGAAGGACAACTAAGTGATGATCTCATTAGATGCAGAAAAGGTCTTTAACAAAATCCAATACCCCTTCATGATAAAAGTCCTGAAGAGAGTAGAAATACAAGGGACATACCTCAATATAATAAAGGCAGTTCATAGAAAGCCTACAGCTACTTAAATGAAGAAAAGTTCAAAGCAATTGCACTAAAATCAGGAACAAGTCAAGGTTATTCATTTCTCCATATCTATTCAATATATCACTTGAAGTCTTAGCTAGAGCAATAAGAAAAGTGAAAGAGATTAATGGTATGCAATTTAGATAGGAAGAAGTCAAAGTATCTTTATTTGCAGAAGATATGATAGTATACATAAGTGACCCAAAGAATTCCATGAGGAAACTCCTATACCTGATAAACACTTTCAGCATGGTAGTTGGATACAAAATTAACTCACAAAGGGGGCTGGAGAGATGGCTCAGAGGTTAAGAGCATTGCTTGCTCTTCCAAAGGTCCTGAATTCAATTCCCAGCAACCACATGGAGGCTTACAACCATCTGTAATGGGGTCTGGTGCCCTCTTCTGGCCTGCAGGCATACACACATATACAGAATATTGTGTACATAATAAATAAATAAATATTAAAATAACAAACAATCTGAGAGAGAAATCAGGAAAAGAACATCTTCCACAATAGCCTCAAATAATAGAAAATATATTAGGTTATGTCTAACTAAGAGAAAGACTTGTATGATAAAAACTTTAAGCCACTGAAGAGAGAAATTAAAGGAGATATCAGAGAATGGAATGATTGCCCATGCTCATGGATTGGTAGGATTAACATAATAAAAATGGCCATTCTATCAAAAGTCCTATAGACAACACCTACACAATGCATTGAACAATGGAGATGCAGAACTGATTCCTACATAGAGCCTTCACCTGTATGTTCTAGTGTCTTTGGTACAGGAAGGTACTATGCATGCTATCAAAAGAGAAACAAACACCAAGCCACTCTTTTCCTCCTCATCAACTGGGGCATGGTAGTCATCATGAGTGATGCAATAACAATCCAGATCAGGAAGTTCATGACCAATTGTCTACTTCAAAGAAAACAGATGGTTACTGATGTCCTTCACCCTGGGCAGGCAACAGCACCAAAGACAGAAATTCGGGAGAAGTTAGCCAAAATGTACAAAACCACACCAGATGTCATCTTTGTATTTGGATTCACCACTCATTTTGGTGGTGGGAAAAGAACTGGTTTTGGCATGATCTATGATTCTCTCGATTATGCAAAGAAGAATGAGTCCAAACACAGACTTGCAAGACATGGCCTTTATGAGAAGAAAAAGACCTCCCGAAAACAGCAAAAGGAATACAAAAATAAAATAAAGAAGGTCAGGGGGATTACGCAGGCCAATGTTGGGGCTGGCAAAAAGCCAAAGGAGTAGCTCTGCGGTGACTTGATCTGCTGTGATATGCAGACTATTTCCCAGAGGACAAATAAACTAAAAGCTTAAAACAAAACAAAACAAACAAAAACCCACCAAGCCAGCCAGCCAAAAAACCTTTATCTACAATGGTGTACTATCTGCAAGATTGGCTAGGGCAATAGTGGCACAAAGCTCATGGGAGTAACCAACCAAAAACTGGCTTGACTTAAGACCCACTCCACAAGATGAAACTTACACCTGACACTGGGTGACCGAGAACCGGAGACAGCCCAGGACCCTAGGGTAAAACCAAAGAGTACTGGTCTACAAAAAGAAAAAAATTGTAGTGATAAGATGGCTCCTGATGATATTCTGCTAGACTCGTAGATTAGCCAGCATCAGATATGATGCAGCAGATGGGAAATAGAGACCCCCCAGCCAGACATTACACAGGAAGTGAGAGGCCGAACACTCAACCCCAAATGGGGGGTCTCCATCAAATCCCTCCCCTTCAGAGTTCAGAGAATCCCACGGAAGAGGAGGTGGAGAGAATGTAAGAGCCAGAGGGATGGAGGACACCAAGCAAACAAGGGCCTCTAAATCAACTGAGCAAAACTCATGTGAACTCAGACTGAAGCTGCAAGCTCAGAGCCTGCATAGGTATATATTATGTATATTATGTATTATGAGTAGATATTATGGCTTACATTTAGGGTTTTTTTTTTTAAGATTTTTTTTATTGAGAAAAGGAAAAAAAAGTTTCCGCCTCCTCCCAGCCTCCCATTTCCCTCCCTCTCCTCCCAGCCTTCTTCCCCTCCCCCCACTCCTCTCCCCCTCCCTCTCCAGTCCAAAGAGCAGTCAGGGTTCCCTGCCCTGTGGAACGTCCAAGGTCCTCCCCCCTCCGTCCATGTCTAGGAAGGTGAACATCCAAACTGGCTAGGCTCCCACAAAGCCAGAACATGAAGTAGGATCAAAACCCTGTGCCATTGTCCTTGGCTTCTCATCAGCCCTCATTGTTCGCCATGTTCAGAGAGTCCGGTTTTATCCCATGCTTTTTCAGTCACAGTCCAGCTGGCCTTGGTGAGCTCCCAATAGATCAGCCCCACTGTCTCAGTGTGTGGGTGCACCCCTCGTGGTCCTGACTTCCTTGCTCATGTTCTCCCTCCTTCTGCTCCTCATTGGGACCTTGGGAGCTCAGTCCAGTGCTCCAGTGTGGGTCTCTGTCTCTATCTCCATCCATCACCAGATGAAGGTTCTATGGTGATATGCAAGATATTCATCAGTATTGCTATAGGATAGGGTCATTTCAGGTTCCCTATCCCAAGGAACTAACTGGGGACATCGCCTTGGGCTCCTGGGAGCCACTCTAGGTTCAAGTCTCTTGCCAACCCTAAGGTGGCTCCCTTAAGAATTGTGCTTCCGTGCTCTGCTATCCAACCTTCCTTTATCCACATTTAGGGTTTTTATGGGATTCCTGAGCATGCAAACAAGCAAGTCTCTGATTCTTGTGTTTTCTCTTGGCTCTTTTCTTTTGTTGGTTTGTATTGTCCAACTTTGATGATAGTTTTTGTTATTTTATTTTAAAAATGAATGAAGGAATGAATGAAAAACGTAGCCACAGGGTAATGGGTAATAACTAAATTTTCATTTATGTCTGCTGAAAAAGGTAAAGTCATTTCTTCAGTGGAGTGACACTGGGTGTATCAACCACTCCAGGGCAGGCCACATGTCCAGCAGTAGTTAACGAACATATAATGAACTCCATAGTGTTTTGTGTGTGCTTTTATTTGGTTACAGTTTGTTATTTTTATCTGTTTGGGTGTTATTTTGTTTTCTTGGTTGGGAGGGTTGATGCTGTATTTGTTTTTTGATTGTTTTCTGAGAAAGAATTTAAAGTTGGGTGGGTGGGTAGGGAGAGGATCTGGAAGGGCTTGGGGGAGGGAAAGAATATGATAAAATATATTTAAATTTAAAAGCTGTTTTAAATTAAAGAAAAAAAGTGGAAGAAATAGTCTTTCTCATGGGCGATCACACCAATTAAGCTATCCTGTACAGAATGATGAGCCCTGGAAAGGACAGATAAAATTATACAGATTGAGCAGGTTTTAATTAGAAATATATATGTATATGTGTGTACATATATGCATATAACAACACTTAGTGAAAAAAGAAGCCATAAATTTGAGATGGAGCAAGGAGAGGTATATGGGATGATTTGGAGGTGGAAAAGGGAGAAAGGATGTAATTATATTAATCTCAAAAATAAAGTAAACTGGAAAGATGGCTCAGAGATTAAGAGCGCTGACTGCTTTTCCAGAAATCCTGAGTTCAATTCTGGGCAACCACACTGAGGCTCACAACCATCTATAACAAGATCTGGTGCCCTCTTCTGGCATGCATGCAGAATTCTGTACACATAATAAATAAATCTTTAAAAAATTGAGTAAAGAGAATCTTTCCACTTCAAATGATTTAATCCCTCACAGCCTTTTGGTTTTTAATCCCAGATGTAGTCAGGTTGACAACCGAGAATAGCCATCATGGTGGGCAGTGGTGGTGCACACCTTTACCCCAGCATTCTAGAGGCAGAGGCAAGTGAATCTCTGAGTTTGAGGCCAGCCTGATCTAAAGAATGAGTTCCAGGGGCAGCCAGGGCTACAAGGAGAAACTCTGCCTCAAAAGAATAGTCTCCACAATGTGTTAGTTTAGCAAGGTCACTGATCAGTGAATAGGGGAAAAGTCTGCCATGGGCCCGAAGAGTCTCTGCACTTCCAGCCAACAGAGCATGGCCCTGAAAGGTCTTGATATTGAGTACACAGACAATTAATTCGGCCAACTTAACTACAGTAACTATAGTAAAATTTTGTTCCTCTGTAGAGGTCAGAGTTCAGCTTTATTTGTGGCTTACTAAAGAAAAGAACTGAAAGTACTGAAAGTGAGGAGCGTTTGCCCAGCATGCCCAGACCTTGGATTAGAGCAGCAGAAATTCAATGACTTGAATGAATGAATCAATAATATTTACCAAGAATGCTGAGCCTTTGGCTCTGGTTGCGTCAGCCCTGGCAAATCTGTTGTGCCATTATCTGGGCCTACTGTATCATCCTCACTGACTTGAGGGCAGGACACCAGGTGATATGAAGGCCAGGACTATATAAGCTCTTTTGACAATGGGCCAACGTTTCACCGTAGCATGAAAGAGCTGTATGTGTACATCTAAATGTGTGCACAGGGTAATTTAAGACCCTTTACTTACAAACTGAAAAGCAACTGGCTCACCTTCCTTCATTGAAGGCCCAGAGCAGGAGTGCAGAAAGGCAGTGCAGATGGGGTACAGAACCAGAGTTCCGTTCCATTGCTTCAGCTTGCTCTGGCCTTTGCTAGAGGGTCCCTAAAAGTTCCAGCTAAGATCAGCCAGAACATTGTGGCACCCACCTATAACCCCAGTACTGGGCGGGAAGCAAAGGCACGACAGGCCTGTCTGGCTTACATAGGGAGACTTGTCTAACCAAACTAAACCAAACCAAACCAGAACAAAACAATGTACCAGTGGAAGGCAAAAACAGAGGTGAAGTCAGGAGAGCAGAGGAGGAGGTGAGGAGCAGTGGAGGGAGGCTTTCTCTCCCCCAGGTTAGGAATTCCTTTCCCTTGAGGTCCCATTGGGAAGTAACAATTACTGTATTTACCCACACTCCTACTAGCCAGGGGTGTAACACTTTCATGACAAGTTACTCCCCAGTCATTTGTTGCTATATCTTATGGCCGGCAGGCAGAGTCAACCTGAGTTCTTTCAGAAACCTTACTCCTTCACTTCCCTGCCGGCAGCAACCAAAGCTCACAGCTTGTTGGAAACGCTTCCCACCTGGGAGTCTGCTGTCTCCCCTCAACATCCTTGAACTTTTTAGGTCGCAGGAGAATCACCACTGCTTTTATTTGTACTTCTAGAAGAGAACTCCCTACTTCGGACGGTTTTGGTATCTCCAGCAGTATCTTGTTACACCCAGGCAAGCCTAGCGCATTGTCAGTAGCTTGCGGCTTGCGGCGTTTGTTTTCCACAAGGCAGTGGGAAGGAAGAATGGTGGGCCCAAGGCCGATCCTCCAACCACACTGCTACACAGGGCCACTCGGCCCAACGCCAGGGCGCTGGAGATAGAGGGTGCGAGAGCAGCTCGGGTCTCCTGGACTCTCAAGCTTCGTACAAACCCATTGGCCTCCCACAGACCAGAGCAGGCGGTTGACCGCAAGCGCTTCTCCGCGCGCGCACCCGGTGGAGTGATCATAGAGTGGCACGGACAGGCAGAGCGGCCAGGAGCTGCCCGCTTCCGGTAGCGCCACATTGCTCCAAGAGCTGCCGCGTACGCAGTTTCCATGGGGACTGAACATGGCGCCGCGAGGTGAGACTCCGGAGGTGTGTGTCTCTGCCCACTGTCCATTGGTACCTGCCAGTCCCTCCACCTCTCTGCTCTCCAGAGCTCGACTTAGTCCCCCATTCTTAAAAGTTGAGGGTCTCACTCTTCATTTGTCCCAGTTAGGCTTGCGTTGCTCTGACCACCCCGAGTGCCCGCATGTGTAGAACTCGGATACCCTTAACAATCCCGGGCTGGCCCTTTTCTGGGATGACTCAGTTACGAATCCTCTAGCCTTGCACAGACCCGCTGCTGGCCTCTGCGCCCCGGTTTCCCCTTCAGCAGTGACAGGGTTGGATCTTTGAGGTGCCTCTCAGTTGTGATGATAGCTGAATTGCCAGAAAAGTCGCCTGCAAATAATTCCTGGGAAAGGAGGTCGAAGACCAGCCCCTTCACATCCACACTCCCACGTCATAAGCAATCAGAAGTTTCTCCCTCCTTCACCACGGTCTTGTGTTTTCTTCGGATTACAGAACCATACAGGGAGTAGAGCTCCAGCCCATCTTTGTGTTGTTTTTTTTTTTTTTTTTCAGATAAAAGGTTGTCCTCAACCCCTCTGGAAGTCCTGTTCTTTCTAAATGGGTGGTACTATGCCACCTATTTCCTGCTGGAGCTCCTCATTTTCCTGTATAAAGGTAAGGCTGGGCTTGACTGCCTCTGCCCCAACAGCTCTTTCCCTCTTTAGCCCAGCGCCAACTCCCACCAAGAACTGTTCATTCTTTTCTGGCCCCTACAGCATGTCTCTTCACTGCAAGGCAGAAGTCTCTTCAGCTGATGGCTTTAGAACGATTCAGTACGAAATCTCTCTCAGCAAGAGTATCTTGAGTTTGGGAAATGTGGGCTTCTCCATCCTGACTCTTCCCCATCTGTCTCTGCTGAAATATTCAGATCTCTGTACCATTATAATTCATTCATTCGACAGAGAGGAACCCCCACAGACTTAGTAAAAAAGTCTGCAGCTATAACGGTTCACACTTCACTAATTGGTTCGTGGGAAGCTAAGACTAGTGTCCTTGTTCCTGGGTGTGCGGCAGTCCTTGTGGGGACAGTTAGGTGGTGTTGCAGACTCTGGCTTTTCCACTGGCAGGTCTCTTGCTGCCGTACCCAACAGCCAACCTAGTCTTGGATGTGGTGATGCTGCTCCTTTATCTTGGCATTGAAGTAATACGACTGTTTTTTGGTAAGTGTTGTTCAGAAAATAGTTCTATTCCTTATGAGACATGCTGGAGATTGTAACCTGGTTAACAAGACAAAGAACATAACCTAGGCTCACTATCAGAGGCTGGATCTAGTAGTATATCCCATTACTTCCCTATCAGAGGCTGGATCTGGTAGGATATCCCATTACTTCCCTGAAGCTTCAAGCTGCTGCTTCATATCATATTTTAGGTCAAGATACACCTGTGTGTTTCTGAGCGGGACTAGAGGCCGGCAGTAGCATTTGATCTTAGATATTCCTTTCCAGTTGCCTGACTGCTACAAGAGTTCCTACTTCTTTGCTTTGTTTGGGAGAGTAAGGCATTAGAGTGGAGCTCTAAGATTCCCTCCACTTCTCTAAACAAGGATTTCTCTAGAAGTTTTTAAACGCCAGAAACACAGAAAAACCCTTATTACTTAGAATGTATTGTCTCTGAAAACAGTGATAAAATACAACCCAAGAGGAGGAAATGGTAAAGACCACATGTGTGTCTGGTGCCAACAGAGGTCAGAAGAAGGTGTCAGGCTAGAGAGATGGCTCAGTGGTTAGGAGGCCTTACTGCTTTTGGAAGAGGATCCCAGTTTGGTTCCCAGCATCAGGCAACTCACAGCTGTCTGTAACTCCAACTCCAATGTTGTCTTCTGACCTTTGTGAACACATATAAACACACAAGTAGGAATGAAAAGGGAAAAAATAGAAGAGGGCATCAGATCCTTTGGAACTGGAGTTACAGATTATTGAGCTGCCATGTGGGTGCTGGAAACTGAAGCTAAGTCCTCAGGAAGATCAGCAATGGCCCTTAACACTGAGCCATCCATTTCTCTAGCCCTAAGTAACAGATATTTTTAAGGCATTTCTAAGATTGTTTTCCATTTTAGTTGGAAAGTTTTTAGTGTATTTATATACACATACACATATGTACATTGTATACTCATATTTTACATGTACAATTTTTATGTTGCTTTATATATATATATATACACACACACACATGTGGATTCAAATGCATATATGTTATACACACACACACTTTGGTCTTGATTTTTTTGGAGCAAGGAGACCAGGATGATCTTAAACTATCGATTGTGACACCTTAGCCCTTGCTGTCATGGACTCTCGGTATAGACCAGGCTGGCCTCAAATTCGAGACCCACCTGTCTTTGCCTCCCAAATTTTTTCTTGATGCAGAATCCCATTGTTCCCTGCGTAGTTAGAATGGAAGCAGGGCCTCTGGAATAAATGACTTCAATCATGTAGCACCCTGAAGCTTCAAAGTTTTAGTTCAGTGGGCTTCACTTTTAAATATGACACCTCCCATTCAGGGTAATTTTTCTCTACTCTGCCCATCTGTCATATCCAGATACTTTCTGAGTTGAGGAAATACAAGCTGATGCCAGGAAAAGCAGTCACCACTTGGAGATGATTCTGGGGGCTGTGTTTTATAGGTACAAAGGGAAACCTCTGCCAGCGAAAGATGCCCCTTGGCATTAGTGTGGCCTTGACCTTCCCATCTGTCATGATGGCTTCATATTACCTGCTGCTGCAGACCTACGTGCTCCGCCTAGAAGCTATCATGAACAGCATCTTGCTCTTCTTTTGTGGCTCAGAGCTACTGCTTGAGATACTCACGTTGGCCACCTTTTCCAGGTATTACTGCTGAGGGCTGGGTTCTCCACCCAGAGATGGATGCATTGCTTTTTGAAGGCATGAAAGGTGTAGGAAACTGGATTTGAAGGTGTCTATGGGAATGCCTTTTTTTTACTTCCAGTAGGTAGGAAGGTTGCATGTGTATCTGCATATGTATGTTCACCTGTGTGCATATACAAATATTCAGGTAGGTGTGTGTGTGTGTGTGTGTGTATGTGCGCACGTGCATACCAGAGGTTCATACCAGATGTCTTCATTAATCACTTTCCACCTTATATTGGAGTCTTTCACTTGAACCCAAAGCTCTCTGATTTGGCTAGTCCAGCTAGCCAAACTAACTAGCTTACCCAAGGAATCCCATCTCTCCTTCCATGAGTACTGGTCTTCATGTTTGGGTGGCAAGTACTTTTACTACTGAGCCATCTTTCCACTCCCAAAAGCTTCTTTTTAAGGAAGATAGTCTTCTGTTCTTTTGGAATTAAGAGGCTTCAAATAGGCTGGACGGTGATAACACATGCCTTTAATCCCAGCATTCAGGAGGCAGAGGCAGGTGAATCTCTGTGAGTTTGAGGCCAGCCTGGTCTACAGAACGAGTTCCAGGACAGACAGGGCTACACAGAGAAATCCTATCTCAAAAAATCCATACAAGCCGGGCGATGGGGGTGCATGCCTTTAATCCCAGCACTCGGGAGGCAGAGGCAGGCGGATCTCTGTGAGTTCGAGATCAGCCTGGTCTACAGAGCTAGTTCCAGGACAGGCTCCAAAGCCACAGAGAAACCCTGTCTCGAAAAACAACAACAAAACAAAACAAAACAAAAAATCCATACAAAAAAAAAAAAGAGGCTTCAAATATGCAGATTTCAAGCTAACTTTGTTACTCAATGCTTTTTTTTTTCTAAAAAAAAGTAGAATTTTTATTTTATGTTCATTGGCAATTTGCCTGCATGTATGTCTGTGTGAGGGATTCAGATGCCTTGCAACTTAAGTTATAGACAGTTGTGAGCTGTCATGTGGATGCTTTGAATTGAACCTGGGTCCTCTGGAAGAACAGCCAGTGCTCTTAACTGCTGAGCCATCTCTCCAGCTACACTCACTGGTCTTTTAACAGTTTCTTTCTTTCTGCCTTTAGTATGGAGAGGATCTGAAGTACAAGAATTCCAGCTGGTAGCCCATCAGGGTGACAACACATTCTTCTGGTATTTCAGCACACTTGTGAAAAGTGGTAGGTCATGTTGGCCTGGGAAAGGTTGTGTGGTTTTTCCTCAGAACAGACATTTGGGCATTGAGCACCTACTTGAGGTCACTGGCATCATCTTTAAACCAGGATCATCAGCAGGAGATACTGACCTTTTGTGGTAGGGAGGGGCAATGCTGTCCCCATCTTGATCTTTCTAACAGCTCCTACTGACCTCAAGTTCTCTTCCTTGGTCATCATGGCCAGAGTTCCTTGTGTGGATCATCTGGGCTTGTTGGGCTTCCAGCAGGACCTGAGCCACAGCACCTGTACATGTACCACATCTGTCTGCATGAGCATGAAAAGTAATGATGGTGGGCTCCTGGACTGATTCAAATACCCCTAACCCCAATGCTCAGAGATGGAGACCCAGAACCTTTTAGTAGTTCATAGTATTTTTCTATTCTGATCATGAAGCAAACACGATTTTACAATAAAAATTATTTTCTGATGTGGGGCTGGTTGTTTTTTTTTAAATATTTATTTATTTACTTATTTATTATGTATAATACAATATTCTGTTTTGTGTATATGCCTGCAGACCAGAAGAGGGCACCAGACTTCATTACAGATGGTTGTGAGCCACCATGTGGTTGCTGGGAATTAAACTCAGGACCTTGGAAGAGCAGTCAGTGCTCTTAACCGCTGAGCCATCTCTCCAGCCCTGGTTGTCTTTTCTGTATGACACCTGTCTTTAAGTTCATCTCTTCTAAGTGAGGGCAGAGACTATCCCAACAGTGTGTTCTGAAGCTGTGTTTAGTAGTAAGATGTAACACAAAGTTGTGAAACTGTCCCTCTGATCCTCACCCACCCCCATGCCTAATTTGCAGCCCGAATCCCAGTAGATACTGCCATCTTGTCTTCTTTGATCTGTCATTGGCAAAAGACTCTGAAATGTTCTACCTCTGTCCCAAGTTTGCTTGTGTCTCAGTTCTTTTCAGCATTGGCCACGTGTAATCAGAAATTGGAAGTTTATTCTAAAACTGACCAAAATTTCTCCTTAGTTTAAAAGGAACATTTATTGGTCAGCATTTTGCTGCGTATTGCCATGTATTTATTCCAGAAATTACCAGGAATCATGAAAAGTCCACTTTAGGAAGCCTCGAGGTCAGTCTTCTGTGTCAGGCCAAACCTGGGATATTTTTGTTTTCCTATGCTTCTTTTTAAAACTTTCCCTCCCCCTTTTTAAAAATTAATGATTTATTTAAATTTATTGTCTGTGCATTGTTGTGAAGGTGTCAGATCCCCTTGAACTGTTGTTATAGTTGTGAGCTGCCATGTGGGCGCTGGGTCCTCTGGAAGAGCAGCCAGTGAGTGCTCTTAACTGCTAGCCACTTCTTCAGCCCCTTTTCTTAACTTTCTTATGGCTGCCATTCTATGGGCTCCACAGTCTAAGCACTGCTGCCTTTGTTTTCTCTTCTCCCTTGCCTCCTAGTTGTCCTTGAGTCTATAGTGAAAGATCAACAGCAAAAAAAGTACAAAGATGTCTAATAGGCACTTCTGTGGTGTTCCCATCTCCTATTTCATTGAACACCAATTTTCTGCTTCTCACATTTGCTTTCTCTAGTTTTGCTTTGGTTAATGGCATAGAATAGAGAGGAACCCATTCTCTGTGACTTTTGACTTCATTAGTTTCAACCCCCTATCCAGGAGCACAAGGAACAGAAAGCTCAACTAAAGTGCAAGTGGCTTTTACATTTAATTGTTAAAGTTCAGAAGGGCCTTTTTTTAAAAATTTTTTTTAAATTATATTTTAAATAATTTATTTAACTTTATGTGCATTGGTGTGAAGTTATCAGATCCCCTGGAACTGAAGTTACTGACAGCTGAATTTTAAGCTGCCATGTGGGTGCTGGGAATGAACCCCAGGCCTCTGGAAGAATAGCCAGCGTTCTTAACTTTGGAGCCATCTTTCAAGCATCCCAGAAGGGCCTTGAGACTCTACTCCAGTTTGCAGGCTTAGAGGTGTGAAGCAAATGCACAGGTGGAACTCTTAAGCCTGTTTTACAGGTCAATATGCACAAAGTGAATAGAAACCCAGCAGGGCAGAGTGGTGTACACCCACAGTGCCACTGAGGATGAGGTTTAATGGCTAAATGTACTGATTAGGAAGCTATTTCACTTATGCTTATGTGGAAGCTTAGTTCACTGGTTCCCATGGATGGCTCCTTGTTCTTGATGTTGCTGGAACCACTTGAATAGCTATGCACAAGAGAACCAAGACAGTAACGGCATGTGTCCCAAACACTTTGGAAGTAAGGATGAAACTAACCTGGGGCCCCATCTCAAGACCGTAGACCACAACACTGTACTGTGATCATGAGCAAACACTATAATAAATATGTTTCTACAAGTTTTTTAAGATGGGGGGGGGGGTTTCCTCATGTTTACAGGTAGTTTCAAATGATCCTCCTGTTTCAAATTCCCAGTGCTGGGACTATAGGTATACCACTATCTGGCCTGGTTTTATTTTAATCTTCTTGAGACAGGGATTCTCTACTTAGTCCAGTCTGATCTCAAACTATCCTCCTGCTTCACTCTTTTCAGTGCTGAAATTATCTTGATGGAGGAAGGTCACTGGTTAAATAAAAAGAAACTGCTTGGCCCTCATTGGTTAGAAGATAGGTGGGAGGAGTAAACAGAACAGAACGCTGGGAGGAAGAGGAAGTGAGCTCAGACTCCACAGCTCTCCTCTCGGGAGCAGACGCCTCAGAGAGACACCATGCTCCCAGCACCCAGGCAGACGCACGTGATGAAGCTCCGACCCAGGATGGACATAGGCTAGAATCTTCCCGGTAAGCGCACCTAGGGGCGCTACACAGATGATTAGAAATGGGCTAAATTAATATGTGAGAATTAGCCTAGAAAAGGCTAGATAGAAATGGGCCAAGCACTGATTAAAAGAATACAGTGTCCGTGTAATTATTTCGGGGCATAAGCTAGCCGAGCAGGCGGCCGGGGTGCTGGGAACGCAGCCCTGCCGCCCTTATTACTACATTATCTGGCCTAGAGAGTTAACATGGCTAAAAGCTGTACTTTTAAAAGAGTAAGGCAAGCTACTTTATAGACCTGGAGGCACCAACATTCTAAGACAATACGAAGTCTTTGGGGACATAAAAAGCTGATGACTGGATGTTAAATGGAGCAAACCTGGTACTTAGCAAGCATAATAGGTATCTGACATGCAAGTGATCATTCACCCCTTTGTGAAAACACATTTCAATAGTGACACTAGAAAATTAAGCCCCTCCAAGATTTTTTTCCCTGATAGCAGTATACAGTATCATCTGGTCTGCAGCTTTTTTTCTTTTTGTCATGTAAGTCTACTCTTACTTCACTTAAACAAACAAACAAAATAACTGGATGTGGTGGTATATCCATATAATCCCAGCACTTTGGGAGGTGAAGAAGGACCAGTTCATTGTCAGCCTAGGATATAAGAGACTGTCTTAAAAAACAAAGGGCTGGTGTGACTGACTGATGGTTCAGTGGGTTAAGGTAGAAAGCCTGACCAGAGCTTGATTCCCTAGGAACCACAAGGTAGAAAGAGAACAAAGTTTCCAAGTTGTCTTGACCTCCAGACATATGCCCATGTGCGTACATGAAGACAGCCAGCCAGACACACATGCACTAATGTATGCATTTAAAAACAAACAAAACCCAAGTAACCTTTGTGGATTCTGAATCTGATTCCTAGGTTCAGGTACCAAAACTTAAGATACCAAATTTTAGGGACCAGCTCAACACCCTTGGGCAGCAGTGACATTTCAGTACTTAACTCCTCTTGTCATATTTGTCCAAACAGTAAATTGTTAAGATATGACTACTTTGCCAGTGGGCCTTTATCTGTGTTGCTTTAAAAGGAGAGCTCTTCTGGAAGTCCCTCAGTATTTCTAAGCTTTCTAGTTTCTTCTTCACATATTTAGATGTCAATTCTGTTCACAAAACACATTATTATGTGATTCCTAAAGCATCCTTAATACGAAGGCAGAACAGCAATTATTCTCATTTTTGATGAGAGACTGAGGTCACATTGCTTGCCTATGGTTAGCAGATGGAAGACCTAAGTACTAGCATTCAGGTGTTCATGCCCAACTGGATACCACTAGAATTCCACAGGGTAGAAAACACAATCTGCAAGTAGGGCTCAAGAACCATGAGTGGTCAGGATGACTTGGAAGTCTCTTTAACTCAGGGAAAGGACAAACCGTGAGGGGCACAAGTAAAGGTTCAAATTGTACTCCTCGGAGACTCACCATGTCAGCTAAAGCTGTGGAGAAACGACTGCCTATCACCAAGTTACAGTTAAGAACCTGAATTTCCCTACATCACATAGTATCGTTATCAGTCCACACCCATGCCCAGACACCTCAACAAATCTATTCAATGCAGAATCCGTAAACAGCTCACACCCCATTTATTATTTAAAAATATTTTGTTACAAAAGGAAAAAAATACAATGCAGTATAAAAGATTGACATCGTCATCAAGTTTATTACACAATTTTCAACCTATCAGAAAGACAAACAAATCACTGACAACAGGGGGACGGGGCCTTGACCTTTTGAGGGCTGGGATTTTTTTTTTCTCCTTTTGCTATGAGGAATAAAACTAAAAATTCTGTCATTGAGTAAAAACAAAAAAACGGGGAGAAAATAATTCTCCAGGTAAACAGCTTTTCTGATATTCTATATATTGTTTTTCCTTAACTGTCAGTTTACTTGGTTTTCTCTACATTTTAAAAAGACACCCCACACTGCTTTCAAGAATAAGCACATCACTTAACACTTGGCCAATTGGGCAGGGTGCCAGCCATGTTCTGAAGTGGAATAAGGATCGGCTTGGGAGGCAGGAAGATAAGCTACAACTTGTAGCCTCTGTCCCAAGTGAATGAGCCTCTCAAACCCTAGGGGATACTCCCTCAGTGACTGAAGTGTGCTGGAAAGAGAGGAAGGATCCAATTCAGTTTCTCTCCTCTGAGTCTATTGGGTCTCCAATGACCCCTGCCTCATACACCAAGTCTGATCTCACATGCCACATCTCTTTTCACTTAGATGTCATAGACCCTGCAGAAGCATGCAGAAGGAACATCACCCTATGGTACTCCAGGACTGTGGCTACCTCCTGCAGGAGCAACCTATCACAATTTGGATGCTGAGAAAAGCAATTCCATCTGCCTGTGCAGAAAATAGTCACCTGTGTGCTGGTCCTTAGAACTCTGAGCTGAGTTCACTTAAATCAGGCTTCATTTCTTCTCTGTTCTTTGTCAAAGGCAGGAAGCACCTCCAGGCCAAGTGAGGGGGAGTATTATAGCCAAAGGGGGGAAAAAAAAAACACAAAACACCACATCTGTGACTTTACCTGCCTATTAGTGCTGAGTAATCCCACAATAAGTCAAAGAATGTACCGTGGGGATGCA